TTTCGCTGGGATTTTTTTTCGCTCTCTTTCTCACATATGTTAGTTTAGAGCAATTGAAACAATCGAAAGAAATGGAAGGCAATAATCGTTTGTGTTTATCGTTGGCGTCAGTAAGACCTGGAATGCGTTGAGGTATATAAACCTATTATGAAGCGCATTTCATGTGAGATGGTGTGGGTGGATGCAAATAGAAGGTGAAAAGGGAAAGAAAGAGAAAGACAGAAAGAGCGTGAGAATGTGCCTGTAGAAAATTGGCGTTTGTGTGACTTAATTTCGTAGTGTTTAATTCAGTGGCTGACATGGAAAATGCAAAGCAACGGAAGTAATTTGAATTCATGGCACTTTGAGTGCGGATGGTATATTCACTGCTTTTTTCTAGTTTTTTTTTGTCTTCTCAAAACGAAATGTCTGTGTGAATGTGTTTGCGGGACTAAAGGGAGCGAGAGAGAGAGAGAGACTGAATTAACTCTTTCGTTTTATTGCAAAGTGTCGTGTTATACAAACCGAACCCTTTTCATGTGCACTGAAAAGTAAACATTGTGACGTTGTCCCAGTTTTTAATTTCGCACACGTTTTCACAAAAGAAAATGAGCGCAACCGAATGAGCGAGTTAATAGAAAATGTGTAATACGGATTCAGTTGATAACATTGTAAGAGACGCTGTGAGTGCACGAAAGAAAAAGAAAACATATATCCCAAGTAATGAAAGTTGAATATTACATCAGCATTTTCAGCTAGGGGGTTCCGACTTAAACGAATGATCCATATGCGAGCGAATTTTTCCTATATATTTTGCAAATGTAAACGAATGGTCGCAAATGTTTCTTACAAATTTTGCGAATGGTGGCGGATGTTTCATACAAATTTGCGGACGGTGTCGAATGTTTCATACACATTTTGCGGATGGCGCATATGAAAAGTCATATTTTTACATTCAAAAAGTCAAAGTGACAGATTAGGTGACAGAGATTCAAGCCGAATTGATATTTTTTTTGGTAATATTGAGTGAAATTTTTCTAAAATGGTAAATAAATCTTTGCCTTGTGAAAGGTTTTTATTTTCATTGACGTAACCTTCAATTTCTTTTATATTATCTGAATTTATTTCTAAAATCTCACTTTTCGAATCGAATACGGCTTCTAAAATAATATTCAGCAAATAATCTTGTATTTTTTTCTTCAACTGTTTTTTCAAATTTAGTTGAGAACAATGACATTGTGTTTGAAACTTCCACGACAAACTGAACACAGCAATGTGTATGTACAAATGTCACACGACAGTTTGTCGCATCTAGCAAGACGTATGCGGCATTCGCGAATGGTTGCGAATGAAATGTACGAATTTTCATAGATGTTGATGCGGATGAATATACTTTACTTCGTATATTTCATGTATGAATAGGAAAATGTTCATATATTCCGTATAAAATGGCATTCGCATATAGTAAAATGCCCCTTGGTTTTCTTTGTTACATAATATTGTTGTTATTATGGTATTTCATTGTGTGGTCCTGTTTGTTTCTCATTTTCCGGAACAATCACGCAAAATCTATATTTATTTTGATTCACGATGCGTCCAATATCGACATTGGAATTTTGTAATTGCACACAAAGTATGAATAAACAATAATAATAATGTAACACAACAATTTCGCCGTTAAATTTCGTTTTGAAAATAATTATATATGTATGAAAATATACACTTTTGTTGCGATTCCAAAAAGAATTTATGAATAGAAAATTAATTAGAAAATTTGCAAGTCAGATTAACGATGATCAATGTGGTTAGATGATTCCACAGTATTATTCAGACATTATAGTGAGATATTTTCAGCCACACAGAAAGAAAAAATGTGGTATATTTAATTCAATTTTGGTAGATTTAATATAAAATTAACCAACAACGAATTAAATTTACCATTTTTGACATCTCTGAGGCATATTTTTTCAAAAGTGACTATTTGTTGAATAAGTTTTACCAACTGCTTCATAACATTTACCAACTTTTCGAAACCACAGATGACGCTAGCCCATGAATTTGGTGAATGTAATGAAGCAATTGGTAAAACTTATAAAACTGATAGTCTCTTTTGATAAATATGCCTCAGAGATGTCAAAAATGGTAAATTTAATTCGTTGTTGGTTGATTTTATATTAAATCTACCAAAATTGAATTAAAGTACCACATTTTTTCTTTCTGTGCAGATGAATCAGCTCAGCCAGATATCGTCAGGAGCTGAAATGGAATGAAAACAATAAAATTGATTGTTATATTGATTGAGCAATGTAAGTGTAATTATACCCATAACAATCACTTCTATTGTTTTCACTCAATTTCAGCTCCTGACGATATCTGGCTGAGCTGATTCATCTGGCTGAAAATATTTCATTATAATGTCTGTATTTCCAATTCATTGTTTATATTTTTCATACGTCTCCACTGCGCACATAAATCCTCCTGTAACATTCCCCTCCCCATTTTAATGAGCAAACGCACAAATGTGGAACCCATAATTCTGGTTACCAATTGTTCGTCATTAAATCTTTTTTAAATTTTATATATGAATTTAGTTCTTTAAATTGTCCACAACTTTAGCACATAGTTTAACACATACACACCATCCATGAACCACCGTTCAAGTGCTCAAAAAATATGAAAAATCCATTTGAAACGTGCTTTTCCACCGTCCACATTAAATTAGCGAAAATAAAGCTTAACAGAGATTTACATCATTTACATACAACATAAACGAATTCCAGTGTATGCACGACTCCTTTACATCTATCCGCATATTTTTGGTGAAGATTTAGTGTATGCGGTTAGCACATCGCATAATGAAGGACAACATCAGAATTTTAATGGTTGCAATCCTTTAATCTAACCCGTGCCACGTCTCGTATTCCAACAAACAATTGTTCATCGTCATTCCACTATGTGTATATAAGCAATTACTTTGAAAAAGTAAATGTTTGGTCGCTATAAAGTAAGCCGGAGATGATCTGAAAATATATTCACCGCTCGAACCGTTTCGCTCGAACCTTTCTTAGCATATGTGCATCGCCAGGAAAAAAGTAGTTCACTTGCGTTTGTAATCATTTCAGCTAAATTTCATTTCGATATAAAAATGCACACGGGAAAAAACCATAAACGAGGTAAAACAACAATTACTGTCGTGTTTTGAGTAAAAACACCTTTTTGGAAGAAAAACTTTGCAAAACCGAAAAAATTCCAGGAAAATTGTGCAAAAATAGTTGAATTAGTTGTCGTACAATGCCAAATGGTATGAATGTTAGTGAATTGGAACAATGCTATTTTCAATGTGTGCATATTATCCCCCCCTCCCCCCATCCATTCCTCGATACAATGTAATTTAGTATGTTTTGCCTCAAGCAGCTGATTCATTGTTAGACAGAAAGAAAAACTGCCTGGGAAAAATCCAGAACGCGCTTGGTGAAAAACACTGAACATTTTCTATGGCAAAAACATTCAATGGTTCCTTTCTCTCCTGTATGTTTTTGTTCGCATTTGAACGAAAAAGCGAAAGTATTTAGTTGGATAACGATGGGTCATCAACAACAAATAAAGTGGTCACTCATGGGAAATATACCACAAGAGCCCAAGAGAGATTCAAGTATAAAAAAACACAATTGAAATGGAGTCATTACTTACCGCTAAATGTGTAGAGAATCGATGTAAAAATAATAATGTAATGACGGTGTTGGAATAAGTGTTGGATCATGATGACGATGCTTTCACTTTAAGCAGAGTGTCTCCGTGTGGTCAAATTACACAATACGATTTGTTTATAAATACGCTTCTTTTTTCTCGTCTCTTTCTGTATGTATTCGATTTTGATGTACGCGTTCAAGCTGAATCTGCAGAAAAGAATTTTTCATTGAATGACCTCTTGGACTCATATGACACGTTTTTCTCACGTTTATCGTATATATAAAACTTACCACTCAATTTTTTTTGTTATCGACAGTCACTACCTAATGACTTCTCGAGATATCTCTCCGCCTTTTCAATCCGAGATGAATAACAAATCCAATGATGCGTCTGCAAAACACAAAATGAAACTATCATTAATATTGAGCTAATTTCTATGTTTGAAACCATCACTAAACAAGCAAAATCGTTAAGGACAATGGCTTCTTTTTCTATCTTTTCTTCGGAGAAAAGAATAATGATGATATAAAAGCAATAATAGTTTGGAAAAAGTTCCATAATAATGTTTGGCTTGCGGCTGTTTTTATGAATCTCTCTCTCTCTCTCTCTCTCTCTCTCTATCAACTACAGTTGCACACGCAATAACCGTCAAACGGCCACTGATAAAAAAAGAAAAACGCAACGTTTGTTCAAAATTGAAAGAATTTTGATATTTCATCATTTTATATTCCAAGAATTGTTTTTCCTTCGAATAATAATAATACTTCAATTGTGTAACTTTTAGATAAATCAAGCATAACCTGAACAATGAATCGATGTTTATCTAAAGTTTTACGTCAAAAACGGTAAGACTTATTGGATTCTTCGAATGAAAAATGCGTTTTTAAGGGATCGCTGGCACTGCGAGTGACCTTGTCTTTCACTTGACTTTTCACATGAAAAATGACATTGCACAAATGGATACGATGATTCTTATGATTCTTTACTGAAAAAGATCTTCAATAATTACGCAATATCATTCTTGGAATTCAAAATTCATAACAACATCGTCAATTTTCGGGTATTTTTCCACCTTTCGAGCATCAAAAGCTTAAGCGAAGAAAAGAGCGATGATTCAATATGGTTGATGGCATTAATTTCGACAAATAAAGGTTCGTAGACATTCATTTTCATCATTAGTAATAAATTGATGCGTATTTTTCATCGGCACAAGTCATATGCCATTCAATTAAAATGACGTTGATTTTTCACGACGCTTCATATGAGAGCGAGTTATAATTTATGGAAATTAAATGAATATGCATGCCACTTTGGTGTTCAAGATTTTTTGATGTATGTGTTTGATAACACTCTTTGGCACATTTAATGGGATTTGTCACTGATGTGATTCCATCAATTATGACAATCTACGTTGCGAACTGCAATATTTCATCGCAAAACGATAGAGAAAACGACGAAAGATTGATGCTAAATATTATCAAAAGAAATGTTGTTGCTTCAAATTCAATTTCGATTTTGAAGGCTTGGATGTATCCAATCAATATGAATGTTTGAGCAAGGAAAATTAATTAAAGTAAAAAAAAAATGTAGAGTGATATCGATAAGATGGAATAACCCATTCGTTCCGGTAGCAATTGCAAGGAGTCACAAAAAACAACGCTAACGTCGTTAAGCTCCTCATCAATTAATTAAATTGTGACGCTTTTCTTTCGTAATATCGCACCGTTTCGCCACTCTCCAACATGCACACTCTTCTATCTCACACGCTTTTTCCGTTTCACTCTTTCTCTCTCCGCTTGCTCTTTCACTCCTTCGCTCTCTCTTGCACTTTGTGTGAGCTTTCCACCTTTCTCCTTCTCCACCGATGGATATTTTAACGACGCAATCGAATCAAATTAAATTGGCAATTTCATGCTATCGCTTTCGTTTCAAAACAAATAAAAATAGAAAGTGAAGAGAAAAAAAACCACCAAGCTTTGATCTATAAAGGAAAATCGATTTCTCTCTCTCTCTCTCTCTCTCTGCACAAAAGAAGAAGATGCACAGTCATCGAACTGTGTGCAAAAGGACATTGAAGGCGCCGCTATCGCCGTTTCAATTATATGAACAAAGTCGCATCAATGAGCTGCCAATTAAATCAACCTAATTATGATTCGTTAACGAATCACTTTTGCTCAATCCCTGTGTGCACCAAAGCTCACTTCGATTAATGATTCAATTACAAGCACACTTTCAATGGCTAAATTAATGCAGTAATTGACATGTATGTGCATACGGTACTATGGTACTATCTTGGCACGAGCAAGTTTTTAGAAGAAAACAAATGTTTCTTTCATTCACAGCTAATTGCTAACGGCACGAGATCAATCACAGTTACCTGTAAGTGGAAAAGCGTGGCTTCGGTCTCATGAGAGGGCATTCGCTTTTTAGTCATTTTAAATCGTATTTTTGAAAAGACTCACAAACGATGGTACTTCAATGCTATTAACATATAGAGGTCCAAGGGGTCCCTTCTTGTCCATGTATAACCCCCTCAAAGCTGAGGACTCCTTCTTTCGATTTTCTATAGTTTTATGAACAAATCTCTTCTAGTGAAATCAAAACCTCCATTTCAATTTTTTTCGAAGATGAGGTTTATATTAAATAGAATGCGTTTACCTATCTCTTTTTTTATAATTACCTCCTCTTGAATCTACAACTTCTGAAAGTATGCGAGTTTGAATCAAATGTTCTGCATTTGGCGTCTTGCTTTTAATTGAGCCAAAGGGAGATATATCAAATAATTTGCATTTTGTGTAGTTGCGATATTGAATACCATCGTATTGCTATACTCTATTCACCTTGGTTTGAGTCAAAATGTACACTTTTTCTATTTTTTGCCCATATTATATTTTACAAAGAGCTGTTATTATTCTCCGAAAATGGTAATTTTACATTGATGTAAAAAAAGTCGGTTTTGCATTCAAAATTATTGGCTTTCAATTAAAATATCGATTTTAAAGTCAAAACTTGAACAAGACAGAATTGATTGTTCAAAATCTGTCGTTACCACTGACAACTTGATCATATTTCCACTCATTTTGAAATCCACAATTCCAGTGTGTTATTGTAATTATAAAATGCAACACATTTCGACAAGTATTTCGAAATATTGATAAAATTACCTTTGAATATGTGTAAGTGTATTATTCGAATTACCTCTCTCTCTCTCTCTCTCTCTCTCTCTCTCTCTCTCTCTCTCTCTCATTCTCTGTATGTCTATGTTCAGAAATATAATGGCATTCACGGGGTAAGTTCAGTCATAACCTCGATTGGCCGAGAGATGAATTTAATTGCAGTGTTTCGTTTGGTAATAATCAATTTTGAATATGTTCGTTTTCAAGTAAATGTTGAATGATACGATTCCACCAAAATTCTATTGGGTTCGGTTTCGATTCGAATCCGAATGCCGTATATAAATGTAATATTTAAACAGAATGACCCGAGATGTAATATAAGTTTTATAATTATTCACATACAAAATAAATTTATGATTTTAAATGCTTATTGAAAGGCATGTATGCATTGAGTAACGCCGCCCGTAAGGTAGTCAGTCAATGTGCTTGTCGTCATTGTGCGATTCGATGTGAAGTTTTGAAATACATTGTGGCAAAAGCTGGCTAAAGTAAATGCAAACAAGAGTATGGCATTTCAGAAATTTTGAGTTTTCGGTTTCATCAATGCCATAGAGAAGTTTTGCCATTGAAATGTTAATGTGGAAAACTGCACTTTTGAAGAACACACATGTACATAACGACACAATACAACCGAACGAAACGGTATTTACAACGTAAAAACCCACAATGTTTCGGAATACGAACTTTCGATGACGAATTCTCTTCCTCTTTTGTTGGTCTTGCCTCTCTTTCTTTCTTTCTTCTCTTGCTCACTCTCTCTGTCGCTCGCTTGCTCTGACGTATACGCATGCATTATCAATGCGGTCGGAAAATTGTGAATAAAGGCCAATTCATTTCAGGGCATGGCTTTGGGCCGGGTGGTGTAGTTGATATTTGCATGGAAAAGTTATGCATTCTTACACTCAACTAACGAACGATGGAGCTTTTGCATTTAAATTATTTCAATTGACAATGAAACCGAAAATGTTGTTGTTGTTGATGAAAATCAATTTGCAATTTTCATATTCCATCCGATTAAAATGGTTTCTTTTCGCATGAAGTAGCAGATTTGGTAATAATTTGTGAATGTGGACAAGATTTCATATGACATAGCTCGACTATTTCGACTGTGATAAAGGTGAACAATGCATAAATTAACAGGATTTATACCCGGAAAGAATATGAACGGAGCACAAAGTGTAGTTTTGGCCAAGTAACATGCATTCATAGTTGAGCATATTAAAATACGGAAATATTTTACAAAACAAATCTATTTTTAACTATTTCAATTGTGCACAATTGTTCGACAGTCTTCTCGAAAAACTCCGAACAAACTTGGTGAAGATTTTTTTTTGCACAGTTGCAAACAGCATGAGAGAACACATCACGAAATGTTTGAGAGAAGAAAAAAGAAGTGAACGAGTAAATTCTGTCTTAACTCCTTTGAGCTATCGTTGAATTGTTCGGTGAAAATTTCATACAAAGCATATTTGGCACGCTTTCATAGCTGAACTCGAGTCTTGGGTTTCTATTTGTCATGGAACAGGGCAGTTTTAAACAAAGAAACTTTAGTCGAGTCTAAAGTCGCAACTCTGCATTGAAATTCGAGCATTTCGTATAGAAATTCAGCATTGCTGTCAGTCAACGACTGAAAATTCGGAATGATGAAACATGGAAATTGATCAACGCAGAATGCGGAAACGTAAGACAGTTCTCCCATTGATTGTGTGTGAATAGGAGGAGGTTGAGATCGAAAAAAAGAAGTTTGGAAATTTTGATGAAAAACGATTCTTGATTGAAGATCAACAAGAGGAGCTTCCAAGAGTGCCTCAAAAAATCTGAAAACCAGACCTCTTAAGCAAATTCTTTCGGTTTTTTTGGGGTTTTGGAACGAACCTCTCCCCGCCGTAATCACGTTTGATTGGAATGTAATCGAGTTTTCGCGGGACCTGAATTTTTTCGTGGATTTTTTCTGAGGTCCCCTTTGAATTTTTGCCATTCTTCACCTCCAAAATCTTTAACACCAACACATATGTGTTTGGAGGTGAGATAAGTTGCAGCATATTGTAGTTCCGTGAATTTTTTTTGAAAAATTCTGCATTCTTTGACTTCACATTTAAGAAATTATATCAACACTTTTCCCATAAAAGAAAGCAAATCGGTCACTCTATGTTGTAGCACAGAAAAGATTATCGAGCTTTGAAATTATCTCCAAAAATGCCCTGACATCAATTA